GCGCACAACACTGCGTGGGACGTACTGCAGGGACTCATTGTCAAACAAGGTGTGTGCGCTGCGCGACTTCATCGCATTGCCTTTAGCCAGTACACCGTGTGGATGCTCATCTGACTGAAACAATGCCGTAGCGTCCAAATACTGAAGGCAAGCCACAGCCATAAGAAGAAAGACGCAACACACGCAAATACGAGTCGTTCTCTGTGGGTGGCGGTGCGCCATGAGCAATAGTGGATGCTATACGAACATAATAAGTGAAGCAGAAAAACCACCAGGTCGAGACAGGAGTGGAAGCCCCCAGTGGAGTGTTGCAAGATAAAGCAGATATACAAAAGGCACCAACAACGACCACAGTCATCTTGTGGCTACAGAGATAGACCCTTTAAGGAAGCACAAGATTTGCAGTATGAGTACCATGCAGAATGGCGAGTAAGCAAACGGCGAAAACAATTTTATCACTAAATGTTAGACAGTACCATGCAAAAACCAAATACGTCTTGTTTTTATTTCAGCAAAGCAAAAATGTGTCATACGTACACACATATAAAAAAAAACAGGCACAAATATATGAGCTTTCCATTAACAGAAGAACTTAATATGCCCAGGATTGCGCCACTTCCACAACATTTTACTTGGCAGCGTATCATTGCCGAACTTATTCATAAGCTTCCCATAACTATTCTCCGATGGGAGGTGAAGCACAACAGACTCACGTTTTACGACACGACGCCACTTTCTACCTACACGATCGTGGAAACGGCACCATCTGTCCTCTACAACCACCAGTGCTGGGTATCGTACCTCCAGCCGTAGTATCTGCCCCACCATCACATCCTCAGCAGTCATGCTGTACTGGAAAAACTGCTCCTCTCTCTCTTTGCTGTACGGCAAGCGCACCAGCCGTCGCACAGGCTCAAACGATACAAGCTGCTGCACCACATCCCTCGCTAGTGTGTAGAGCATTCCGGCGAAGTAATGAAACTTGTGCGTAACATTACCCTTTTGAACAGATTCAGCACAAGCTACTCCCCAATACAGCCCTTTGCGCGGCAGCGAGCGCAGGTCAGCGAGGTACTGCGGCACGCGCAGGAACATGTCGTCGTCTCCCTTCGCGATGTAGCTCGCATTCGGGAACAGACGGAACGCCAGCTCGAACCAAAAGAACGTCTTGCGGCTCATTCCGACCTCAGCCTCCAGTCCCCATTTGCCATTACCACCGACTTTTTTGTTGGTCGACGGGCGCCCATCATTCATCGGCAGCGCAATCACATCGTGCCACTGCTCCGCCTCCGCCTCCAGCCCCGCGGAGTACGTGAAGTTGTGCGACGGGTGACGCGCCAGTACGTACAGCACCAGCATCGCACCAGTGAAGTTGTTTAACTTCGTCGCCACACCGGGGAACCGCCAGCACGTCCATCGCTGCAGGTAACGGCGCCTCTGCCGCGCATCGATGTCCACAGATGGGATGCCAAACACAATCAGGAATTCACGCCTCTCCCATGTCTGCAGAGTGTTTGGCGGGACATACTGCAGCGCAATCGGTTGCGGCATTGTCGGGTCGTAGAGCATTGTGGTTGTCTTCGCGCGCGGCTCAGAATACAAATCCGTCATTCCCCTTTTAGCAGCGTGCAGCCTGGGCAGAAGGAGAAGTGCTGCAAGTAAGAGCGCCACAGCCGTGCAGAGGGCGCAACCAAAAAACATTCTGGAGCGTAACGCGCCTCGGCCCCTCGCGGACACCGCCTCCTTCATCAGCAGCGGGTATAGCACTTGAGTGAATAGAAAAGGGAAGAAGAGCACATAACGTCTTGAGGCCACGCTCCCCGGCAACATGCACACCCAATGCATTGCGCAAGACGCCCATACGGAGATCTCCCACGGGGTGGTGGGCCGCGCAGGCTGCTACGGACAATTCACGAATCCGTCGGTGCCACACACATAGGTAGAAGTATTTAGCTTGGCACAACAGTCGGGAGTCGTGATGCCGCACGCCAACCACGCAACAGCCTGTCAAGCACGCAGCCACACCAACCACAACAACTCGACACACACAAGCAGCACTTCCGCCACTGCATCAGGTCGCAGCACTCGCATATCACCAGGCAGCACGGTGTGGTCAGCAAACGTTACAACAAACGAGAGTATCCCGGCTTCCACAGGCCCACCGCCTACCCAGCAAGGGCTGAGCGCATCGTATGGACGCAAAAATACACAGTGAAGCCAAGCAGCGTGGCACCCAGCGGCAACACAAAATACTCAACATGGGGGAATGCAAGCACAGGCTTTCAGTACGGAGACGCAGAGTGGCTCACAAAGCACAGCTCATACTGGGGAGCACAGAACAGAAGGAGTAGACGCTACAAAAAACAAACCAGTAGACCTCCAAACCAAAGCAGTCTCCGTCAGAAAGGCCACGCGGTCCCTGAACAACCCACCGAGCTCAAATGTACAGACCAAAGCAGCCTGTGAGCATATTAGCATTCAACATTCATCCTTCAGAATCCCCCCACCCACCTCCTCGGAGCAGGGCCTGTATCATTTCGGAAGAAGCCCATCAAACCTTCGTACCTACTTTGCCCCAAAGGTGGTGCACCATCACAGCGCACCGCCGCACTGGCACATCGAGTGGTCTGCCATGCGCATCGTGGAAGGCACAGCAACGCTTCTCAACAAGGAACAGGCTGCGTGCAGGACCCAATCTTCGCCAGCGCTACACAAACAATGGCATCACCAGCAAGACGCCATCAAGGAGCAATACTACGCCCCAAGCCCACAGCTGTGCGGCACACACACCAGCCAAACAAGAGGCTTGATTGTCACGAGCCCACCTGCAGAATACAACGTCAACAGCAAAACATGATTCGTATGGGCCGGAGAAAAACACACGGCTACTCGGTATATCCAGCGTCACCAAGTGCTGGCCACACCATCGCAGCATCTGAAGGTCGGCGAGGCATTGCGGCAAACACAGGAAGGTATCACCGACACCTTAAGGGAAGTCTGTCGCAGTAGGGAAGGGACAAAGCGCCATGCTGAACCACAGGAGCACCTTCCCGCTCAGCCCGACCTCAGCTCCACCAACGCGATGCTCTGCACAACCATAGAGCTACACCCACAAAGCTAGCGCAACAAATAGATACACGCAGCACCACGTAGCTTAGGCAGCCATACTTCATCTCCGTTACTCTGCACATACAGCAGCTAGAGCAGAGCACAATGCCGCCACGACTCCAGTACCACTGGCTCAGCTATCTCTTCAGCACCGTCACAATGCCGTACCACATCCCTGGTGGAGACACAGCGCCAATCGCGAAAGGGGCACACGAATACGACACGCTCTCGACATCACAGCTGACCACCTGCTGCTCCTCTACACAACAAGAAAGAGAGCAACGGAGATGATCCACCTCACAAACAGAACCACAAACAAACCACCGCAGCCCACCAAGGGAAAGAGGAGCAACGCCGCAAACAAGAGTGGGAGACCATCCGCACAACACCAACCCTCCATGCAATAAAACAACGTTAGCGGACTAGACGAGCCCACAGAGTGATACGAGAGGATAATACAGCACACGTCCATATCAATCATAAAATGCAGTGCTCGAAAACGAAGCGTGACTCCGGACATTATTCCTATTATATAGATACAGTTATTAACAGGTAGAAACGAGATACATTATTTGTATTTTATAGATTTAGTTACTAACAGGTAGATAGGAGATACCTTCGTCGTTTCTTAAAAGGCTTTGTAGTAGGCGAAGTGTCATTCTTAAAGCGCTCCATCACCTCGACAAACTCACTCTCGGTGGTATCATGGACAACCACAGATAAATTAGTCAGAGGGCGAAAAGGCCAACCATACCGCAGATTGTGAAAGCGACACGGCCTATCTCTTACAAGCGTATAATTTGGGACCTGTGCCTCGTACAAAATGTATCCAACCATCATGTCCTCGTGGGACATCTTCAAGGCAACAAAGTCCGCCTCACGCTCCTT